TGTCTAGATAAAAAAATACTAAATAAATTTTTGTTCAATTTAGTCTCTCTATTTATAAAATATTCAATTTAGTTTTACTAATTTTAAATGATTCGATTTAACCTCTAATTTTTAAACGATGTTCAATATTTCTCTTTCATCTTATTTTATTAAGATTGTTAATATCAATTTAAACTGAAGGATAACATTGAACATTTTAAAAAAAAATATATAGAACCAAATTGAACTATTTAAAAATAATATGATCAAATTAAATCTTAAAAATAAATAAAAAAAATTGAAAATATAATTTATCTCAAATAGAAAAGAAAATTGAATGATAAATAAAGCAAAAGCATGCAATCTTAATTTTTAAAAACATTTAAAAAATATAAATTGAAGTCAAGGTGTTAACATGTGTCGGAAAGTACAAGTGGTCTTTTTTATAATTTTTTTTCTTGATATATGAGAGATTAAAAAAAAAATTAATCCCTCCCAATTAAGGACTCTAGTCAACTGCGCTCCAAGTGATTTTTTTTTTATGAAATATGAGAGATTGAAAAAAATTGATTCCTCCCAATTATGGACTCGATCTAGTCATCTGCACTCCCAAGCTACTCTTAGAACATACTCGTAAATAAGTTGATTCAACCAAAACTTCTTAAAAACATTTTTTTTGTGAGGCAACCCATGGGTAAAGATGACAAAAAAAAACCGTATATATATGCAGATAAATCTGTCAAGTGAATAAATGATTAATTTAAATAAATATTTGTGTTAATATTTTTCTACTTATTTATCGATAACGCAAGACAAATATATGATAAGTAAAATTATTTAAATATTTATATATTTATCTTACATTTTTATATTTTAATAAATTTAATATTAAAAATTAACTTCAATTATTTATCTTTAATATTTTAATAAAATTAATATTAAATATAATTAAATTTATTTATAATATTTTTTTAAAAAAAATTTACAAATATTTATGAACATTAAATTCATGAGTCTCCATTTAACAAATATCAAGTACTAGGTATGGAACAAATTTTTACTTGAGAAGACATGAATGAGTATCGTACTATCCGACCGAAGAAACCTGTTGGCATCCGTAGCTAAGGGATGAGTAATTGAAGGAAGTGAAAGATGAGAGACGGTGGGAGAGAAGACGTACCGGTTGGAGCATAAGAACATTCTGAGCGAGGAGATCCATCTGAGCAATAATAGCATGAAAAAGATACATGTACGTCAATATGAAGATCATCGCTCCAGCAACGTCCTTCACTTCCCAGGCACCTGGTGCAATTTCCAGAAACATTAATTATACTTTACCTCAAACCCTTTGTTGAGACCGTTTCTCAAAGCATCAACTCCAGCGCCATCATAGATTCATAATCATCGCGAGGAGCGTCCTCGGCACGTGCATGACTTGCATGACTCTTCTTTACAAACTGAATAGTAAGTGTTATTGCCGGTGGATGGTTGAGAGTGGGAGTGTGGCAAGGTGATTAAGAATACGCAAGACACCATTCTCACCTCCATTTATGAGTGAAGCAAGTTGACACCCACGAAATTACCGCTCTCTTTCTTTGCATGGTTTATGACATCTCCTCGTGACCTAAACAAAATGGAATTGAAAATTTGAAAGAGATGATCAAGCCTCCCATCTTACTTTTAAACAAAATGAATTAACTGCAAAATATTCTATATCAGACGATGTGTAAAATGTATACCATCTGTAAGATAAAGACAATCGGACGAAGTATATAATCTGTCTCATTATGCATTAAACATATACTTTTAAGTGAAACTAATAATAAATTTCATTAAATGTTTTATTCCTTAACAAATCAAACAAGAAAGATGTCTTAGAACTATTAAAATATGTTAAAGAATGGAAATTTAAATTATCCATTAGAACCAAAAACAAAATCCTCGATATCTGAGTAAAGCAAAAAAAAGACAATGCAAAAACTGTTCTATGTTGACATTATTTCTACTATCCAGCCTCTTACAACAAATAAGAGATACATATTTTGCAGAAATACATTTAATGGGCGCATTAAATCAAGCAACAATAATCTCTTTCCTCTAGGATCAACAGTAAAGACAGATAAAACAATTTGTGAGTTCAACTGAAAGTATTGTCACAACGATCATCTTCTCTGAAACTATTATATAAAGATCAAGTTCTCAAGAAAGGAGTAGAACAAAGAATCATACAAAAAATACTCACTGTGAATTCTGTTTATACTTCTTTATAGATTGTTTGTACTTTAATTGTTGGTTGCAACATGTCTAGAAGAGAGGAAACAACCTCATAATCTTTTGTAACCTTTGTTAAATGGGTTGAGTCTAGAAAGATTTGTTTAAGAAAGAATACTTAGTGTTGGGCATAAATAAGCTTGTTTAAGAAAGAATATTTGGTGTTGAGTCCGAAGAGACTTGTTTAAGAAAGAATACTTTGTATTAAGCCTGAAGTGACTTGTTATTCAAAGAATACTTGGGTAGTTACTTGAAGAGGCAAGTCAAAAACTACTTAGAATTGAATCATAAGTAACTTGTTGGAAGAATATTTATATATCTTGTTTAAAAAATAGTGAAATTCAATCTAGTTTGAGATTTACACGTAGTCTCAATAGTTGAGATGAAACAGTATAAAAATTCTCGTATTTCATCTAACTCTTTTTCAGGACTTCGTCTATTAAGTTCTTTTCTCTTTGCTACTCAAACGTGCGAGTTTTTGATATAAACTATTCAATTCCCATTTTAATGTGTGTCTTTTCTCCACAAAAAATATTATATAAAATTAAATATTACAAATTATAAATAAATCTCTAATCATAGAAGTTATATTATAAAAAAAAACCAAATTTTAAAACTTTTTTAGTTTAAGACCTAATTAAAATTTTGCAGATGATATATTAAACATTAATTAAATTATGTATCTATTTTTATAATATAAATGTTTATATTTAAAATTATTTATATATAAAGATTTATATTTATTGTTTGATCCCTAATTCATAAAATGTCAGTATCGGCCTTCCACCACGTAATTTGATGATTAATGAAAATAAACGTACAACTTGATGAAAGCCTCTGTTTTGTCTCCATTTTAGATAAAGTTTGGTCTAAAAGTAGAAGCCTAGTGTACGTGGAGAGGTATAAGCTCAGACACAACAATAACACTAACGCCGGTTCAAGTACATTGTAATCCATCAATTTCTTAACCTTATAATGGGTCTGATTTAAACAGAGATTGAATATGTAAAAAACTTATAAAAAAAATTTAACCACTCACAATGATAGCCATGTCAATTATTTGGAAGCATGATAGATCTTATTCTTAATTATTTATGTAACAGCCCAAGAACCCGCATGTAGATATTGTCCGCTTTGGCCGCAGCCCTCACGGATTTGTTTCTGGCAATGGCACGCATGCCACCCCAAAACGCGTCTACACAAGGAAGGTGTCCACACCCATATATATGGCATGCTTCGTTCTCCTTCCTAACCGATGTGGGACTA